TTAGTAAGTATACCTCGCACTGATACCCAGATCAATACAGAATGAACTTTTCAATGAGGCATGCCCCACCAAAAAAGTTATTAAAAATACACAAGTGATCAATTTGTTGTAATACAATGAGGCACAAACAGAAAATATGAACGTATATGTAAAAATAAATATCGCACAACATGCATTCCAAATGTCAACACAACAAAATGCAGATAAAATATTGAAAATCAATATAAATATGCAGGATCAAATAAATGTTTTGAAGAGCACATTGTAATTGGATAATTTAAATCTATTAAAAACCGATTTCAGAACTTATTTCTAATTCAGATATTTGACACTTGCATAAATAACGCATACCGTTTTTCAATTCCAAATGTCATCATTTTCTATTCACAATTAGCTCCTTAAGAAAAACAGCTTGTTCATACAATAATAATGAAGGTGAAGAAAAATAACAGGTCTACTGACAACTCTTGTAATGAAACTAGCATTACCATGGTTGTGAAAACTGGGGATTTGGCAAACTTTACTCGTAAAATCTTCCATGCATCTCAAACAATGGTTATTGCTTGTGATTTGACATCTCCTTCTTTGTATATCTTCTTCAATATCTCATTAGTTACTTCATTTGTTGTAGCCTGTTAAGTTAAGTTTTCATATCTTTTAGGCTTTTAAAACATTGAACGCTTTCCTAAGTATATTACCCATTCTAATTAGGTGTAAATAATTCATTCTTTATTCATATCTGCCAATGCTCAAAGTTTGATGAATTGACAGCTTTGTTTAATTTATTTTTTTTTAAACTTAAGAGCTTAATTTTTCTTTTTATTTGTTTTCCTTTTAATGTTTCTTTGATCCTAGAACAGCACAAGAAATGGAAACTGTTACTCCACTGAGGGAATGTGGCACCAATGATAAACGGAATAGGGCCAATTTTCTGAGTTTGTGAGTGGCCTGCGATCTTGCTCACCAGCTGTGCACATTAGGAACTTGCAAATGTACTACATATAAATTTTCTATTTATTTCTTTTAATAGAAGGCAGACTGTTGGCAATATACCTGTGATTCTCCAAAACATGCAGGCAAAAGTCAAGGCTGGTAGCCAAAACTTTGAAATGTGATCCTCAATAGTCAGATGGTTTTTTTCTTTTATTATTTAGGAATTAATTTTCTCCTTCACTAAACATATGGATTCAGATGGAAATATTTTCCATTACTTAATATGATCGAGGTGTCTGTCATTTGCAGAGTCTTTTTCCTGTGTGTAATTCTCTGTACTCATTAATGGCAGTTTTTGATTTCAAAATAAACCAACATATACCACAGCATTTTGTTTCAATATTTAGGGAACAAGTTTCTGCTCATTTTTATCAGTAATATCAATTGACTAGAATGGACCAAACCTGCACAAAGATTGGATATTTTTAAACATAAGTGAGTCACGCCCAAAGCTACTTACCTTTGGAGTTTCTGTGATTATTACCCAGCCTTGAGACTGAACTGTCCAGACCAGGCTACACCCACAAAACTGGCCAAAACCCTAATCAAAAATGTGGGATTGTATCAATCGCTCTTTGTGGCTATGAAAATTAATCAATTTTAGCAGAAACATTAAACTTTAATCTAACCAGCATAATTCTGAACACACAAGACACAATTTCCCAAGTGCACCAATTTGAAAATGCTGCTCCTTTGTGTTTCAATGAAAAATACAGAGCAATACCACTTAAAAATAAAAATAACTATGGAAATCCATGAATTTCTTGCTCATTACAAATGCTTCTGCACATAGATAACTTTGATTGAGAAAAGAAATAATGAATACACTTCCAGCAGTAACTGGCAGAGTAAGACGCTCCTGTCAGAGCTCCTCTACTCCGCCTGTTCTTTTTCTTTGCTTTCTTTCTTTTTCTCTCCCCTTATCCCCACAGTTGAATCCGTGAGCAGTGACTGGCGCAGGGAGCAATTCCCACAGCAGCGGTGGGTGGGGAATTAAGTCCCAGAGCAGCAACACGCAGGTGACGAGTCCCAGTGCGGTGTGGGCAGCAAGTCCCAGGCAGAGGACTTACCGTGGAGCTGTTGAGAGCCCGTACAGAGAATTGGTGCGGAGTGGGTGTGGCTGTTGGGCTGGGGTCTAGCACTGTCAGTCAGACCACGTGTGGAGGCCCTATGCTGAGCTGCTGCAATGTAACGTTTATATGGGATTTTCTACCTGACTGTAATGTCAGTCCTTTAACGATGTCTTATTTTGAACTTACTTTTTAAACTCTGTAAAGTAATGCAACTACTTCTTATTCCTCTTTTGTATCTAAGATTTGCACCTAGGTACTTGAGGCTAAGAAAGCACCATAAGAGACAGACATTGTAAAAGCTTTTCACTGTACTCCTGCACTTCTACAACGGAGTACTTGTGACAAGAAAAGGATATTCTAATTTTGTATTCATAAAATCTGTTATTTTCCCTCACCAAATGCATCAGAACTTCAACCTCAATCTTAGCCTCAACCTTTAGATTAATTTATTCATTCATTCCAAAAGAAAGCAACAAATTATTTACTCCTTGTTGCATAATGATAAGGTGATCCCTGTATGTCACAATAGCATTCCAGAACTAAGTCAATAAAATACAACTTTGGTTGGGTCACAAATCTAACAGTTGCAGGTTCAAAGTCAATGGAAAACGATTTTGAATGAAGTGTATAATCAGTGTTCAATGCCATACACTAAAAAATAAATGTTTTTGAACAGTATTCAAATCCCTACTTTTAGTGGGATGTTTATTTCAATTAGCCATACTTCATAGAACCCACCCCACATTTTTTATTAATTTAACCTAGTTTTCCTAAGCAACCTGTTCAGAGATGTTATTACACACCTATAGAGCAGGTGGGACTTGAACCTGGGCCTACTCAGTCTAGGGGTGGGGGGCACTATCATTGCGCCGTAAGACAGCCTTACCCTACAGTTTATTAGCTCCCAATATTTACACAACCAATTCACACTCAATTAACCCTAGAATAATGTATCCATCACCTGTTTTTTCATACCATTATATCTTAGCCATTGCTTTAGACCATATTGAGGTTTATACATTCAATCTGCTATTGTCCATTTCACATTTGGCAAGTCGATAAACTTTAACTCCAACACCTTTATAACTGCCCTGGATTTCAGATCAGCTGAAAAAGTTTTCTTCAATCTAGACAGCCGTTATGCTGGTCTTCAAATTATTAAAAGAGATTACATCAACTGAATCTTCTTTCTTGAATTTATCAAATCAACCGCAATCCAAATGGCAAATTCTATCCTACTTCTCAGACTAAAAACCAAATTCACTCAAATTCTTTCCTCGTATTGCTTAGCATAAAAGAACACTAAATGGCAAATACAAACAATGCTTATCAAAGACATTTGGAATTATAACATACAGTTGATTCAGTAGTATATTCAAATATTAATACCCCATTAACTCAGATGCTTGAAGTGTTTTCTAAAGTTGAAAAGCTTCTCCAAGTAATAGAAGGATAGATTTAGTCTTCAGTCTGGATATTAAATATCACCAGGTTTAGGGGCATCATTGAAAATCATATGGGAAGAATCTAAAAGCCTATTTTCAAATTAATGTTATCTTCCATGTGTTAAAGGATTGGCGGTCGTTGGGGGGAGAGTGGACGTGACGGGGGCATAGCTCCAGATTCAGCTCCTGTCATCCAATCCTCCAGTCAAATTTTATTTACAGCTTTCAGCAAAAGCAATGATTAAAGTCTAGATAAATAAGACCAAAATCTATCCCACAGCTACCCTACTTCAACAATAATATTCAATTTAGATCAGACAACTAATAAAAACTAAACATAGGATATTTCTGGAAGAACCCTGTTTTACTTATTAGCTTTGGCTTCCACTGCAAATATACTCCATAAACAGTCAGAATAATTAATAATCTATTACAAAGTTTATATAATTAGGCATATCAGGTAGACAATAAAAAGATAATTTCATTTATATGTTCCACAGTGCCCTGTTCATTTATGCTTAAATTTTAATTGGTACAAGGTTTTAAAAACCAGAATAAAATGAATAATTTATTTTCTAGGGGTACATTACTCACCATACTTATAAATACCAGAAGTGTTGTAGTTAAATGATCTCTTACAGTGAAAGAGGACATGAATCAGATATGCACTAACATCACAAATATTCCTGACAATTTGCATTAATATCTGAAATAATCATTTATATAATTGCCTCGTGCACTTAAGATTACAATAGCCAGCTTTTAAATCAAACTTTCACTTTAAGTTTTTAATAGTCTAAAGCCCACTTCAGAGCTGGATTAGTACAATAGAGTAGACTAATCTCCTTAAGCACTCAGGAAGAAAAGATTGTCAGAGTCAAATTCAGAGAGGAAAATTGAATGGGAAGAATTGTACTGTAGCAATTAAACCTGCCTAATTTCTGTACTATTTAAATTAATGAGTGAAATATCAGTCAGTCCTGTATTCCAATTTATTCCCATGCACCAAGTAAGTATCAAACAATACAGTAGGAAAATTCACGTGACTACCCTTTGCATGTCTGTAAAAAGTTTTGAAACCTCAAACCATTCTTCAGTTTGTGAACAAAGTGAAATACAATACTTATTACCAATGTATAATGTACAGAGTCAGGCGGAATACAATATTTAACAAGATTATTGCCAAAACACACCACTAATGGAATTCCAACCATTACTGTACTTATGTCATTTTGATTTGCTGTACAACCCATTTTCTAAAACATCTCATAAAGCAATTAACTACTTTTGTTTTTATAGTAATCCACTCTAAAATATTAAAATATTTAGTCTCTCTTCATTATATATATTCACTATTTAAAAAAATAATTATATATGTATACATACGCGGCTAGTTTTCAATGGTCATAAGTCTGGACCCTGCGTTGACATTTAGCATTTCTGCCAAAGATAATAATGTCCCTTGCACATAAGCTGGAGGATCACTTACCATTATTTAGATTCCTTCCTTCAAACTGGGCAACGCTTCTATTGTCGCAAATTGCAGGTTGACCACATTTACGTTTACTTGAATCTCTCTGGAGACAATAAATCTGTTTCAGGAAACGAGTGCTTGGATAATTGGAGGATGTTGCTAAATTAAATGGAAGAAAATACAAAAACTGGATGAATTATTATGCTTAAGAAAATGATAATGCAACATAACTGAATTTTAACAGCACTAAAGTTACATTGTCACAGGTATCAGAAATACATTGTGTGAATTGCTATTTTACACAGGTTACATTACTATAGATTTGCCATGATACATTAGGTGAAATTTTCCTGCCCATCTAGACATTTCAGAAAGGAGAACCTAATTGCGCAGAGGGCAAAAATGTTAGTTTCCCAAAGACAGGTTAAAGTTTTGCCATTACGTTCTCTGAATCTTTCAGGTTGGTCAGGTTTCATTGCTGGCAACTAACCTTATACTCATTAACATGTCATGCATACTTGCTTACACACCAGGCCGCTGGAATTCCATTTAAGGGTGCAATCTAATCAGCCATAATCAGAAACATGTATATTGACAAACACTATAATTGTATACAAGATAGGTGTCCCTGCAGGGGAGGCTGTTTCCTCAAAATGTCAATGATTATAAACTTCACTAACTTGGCTCCTTCATAAACAAGAAATCTATTTGTGTTAATGCTTAGAATGTAAGGGATGAAGCCTGACCAGGTCAACCAGCTCATAAGTAGTCTCGGTCATATGAAGTCTGCCTTCTGTGGTTAAACACCTAAAAAGTAAAGGGCGAAGCCTCTGCATGTTCAGCATGAAAATTCTCAGTGATAAGTAGTCTGCCTTCTGCAAAAGGACACTACCAATTCGGTGGAGTGGACAGATACATTTCTGATGAAGTTTAATGCAGCTATTAAACCGTACAGCACCCTAGGCTTTACTAAAAGGGCAATGCAGTATTAAAGCAAGGAGGTTATGCTGAACTTGTATAAGACAGTCGTTAGAATGGTCCAATTGAGATCACCGAGTCATAGTCATACAGGTATACAGCACAGAAAAAGGCCCTTCAGCCCATTCAGTCTGCACCAAACAAAAACAAGCACTTAGATACTATAATAAAAACTGAACTGTTTAATTATTCTGATTCCATTTTTCAGTAGTTGGCCCATAGTTTTCTATGCCTTGAAATCACAAGTAAATATCAAAGTACTTCTTCAAAGTTCTGTGGGTTTTTGCCTCTATCGCCCTTACATGCAGTGAGTTCCAGATTCGATCACACTCTGGGTGAAAAACCCTTTCCTCATTTCCTCAAACTCCTGTCCCTTAGCTTATTTTTATGTCCCCAAGCAGAATTTCAAACTAAACTAATCTCACCTGCCTGCTCCTGGTCCATATCCCTTCAAACCTTTTCTATTTATGTACTTACCTAATCGTCTTATAAACGTTGTGATTGTGCCCACATCCACCACTTTTTCAGAAAGTTCATTCCACACCCGAACAACCCTCTGTGTAAAACATTTGCTCCTCATGTCCTTTTTAAAATCTCTCTCCTTAAAAACGTGCCCCCTGGTCTTGAAATCTCCATCCCAGGGAAAAGACATCTACCATTAACCCTATATATACCCTACATGATTTGACAACCTCTGTAAGATCACCTCTCGCCCTCCTACACTCCAATGAAAAATGTCCCAGCCTTTCTTTATAATGCAAACCTTCCATACTTGTTAACATCCTGGTAAAGTTGTGACACAAGGAAAACAGGCACCCCCAAAAAAAATAAATTGGTTCAGGCTAGATTTGAGACCGAAAGATTTTGCATGAACATTTTGTGCACAGTCAGAAATATTCACCAGCTGTAGTGGAGAAGTATTCCCTGGCCTCTCAGGAATTCTTGTTTTTACGAGATACTTTGATTGTCATTGATTCTAATTTAATTTGCTCCCTTTACACCAATAAATTCGTGTTCAGTTTTCTGGCTAAAGCATCAGCATGTAGTTATTCAGGATTACATGGGAACCACGCTTGTATGACACAAACCTTTACTTGCAAACGGGATCCAACTATTACTGAAAGTTATAGGGGCTGAACTACACTGATTGACTGCCAAAACCCAACCATGAAGGTTTCTGTGCACACTCACACTTATTGCTCACATTTTTCTCCTGCAGAAGCAGAAAAAGACACTAGCATGGGCAATTGAGCATTCTGCTTGCATTGCTAGATACAAATAGAGATGTGAATTCCCACAGCTCTGATTGTCCATTTGAACTACTCTAAGTTTAATGTGGCATGGGGAAGTTAGGAGTTAAAAGGTTCTGATTGAAAGGTGGTTCAATGTTGTCAAAGAGCTAGAATTGATGGAAATCAACGAAGCTTGATATGGTGTGTGCCTGCTATTCCTGTGAGGTGTTCATCCATTTGAGTTTGTGACCTCATTGCACGAAAGCCTTTGGTGAAATGCTCAGATTGTCTGTTCTCCGAGCTGTGTTAAAACTGGTGATGCACCAGTTGCTGAGTGTTGTAGCTCTGTTTATGCATTGGCAAATGAGAGAAAGACAGTAGCACTATGATGCAAGTTGTGCACCGCTGGCTGCCCTCGAAGCAGTTGCAGTTGGATGAGACTGTCACACATTTCCTGCTAGAATGTGATTTTGCAAAGGAAGTCTGGAGAAAGACGCAGTGGTTTTTGTCAAGGTTTGTCCCAAGCAGCTCCATGACGCAGGACTTTGTGCTTTATAGTCTGTTTCCCGGGATGCACACCGAGCCAAACATTGGTCCCCCAGGCACAGTCATCAACTTGATGAAAGATGCTCTTTAGGTCTGCCAAAACTTGTTGGTATTCCAGAACAAACAGCTGACCTTGGCCAAGTGTTGCAGACCAGTCCATTCCAAGGTTCAGGACTACATGCTGAGGGATGCTCTGAAGCCAAGGCGCAGTGGGGAAAGACACATCTAAGGTCTTCCTACTGAAGTACAATGGGGGTCCATTCTGTTATCAGACCTTCCCAGTGCCTCAAATGCATGTAAATATAGTCTTGTATAAGTGAGAAATGCCTGGAGTTTGTTTAGTCTACATACATAAGGACTGTGTACAGAATCAAATTACTCCAGTGACCATGTATGTATATAAAGATTTTTATGAAGATCACTTCTGGTCCTCCTGTCCTGAACCTGACTGCTGAGGTGGTGGGCAAGTGCCAGGTATTTCACTCAGGCCAAGATGCCTGATTATTTGCCCTCCTTATCAAGCCCTGCCATCACTTAGGGAGGGGAAAATCCCACCACTTACTTCCAGGGTTTGCCAGACATGAGGTTTACAATTGTGGCACATAATTGCAAACAATAAAGGATCCTGAACAATTGGTGGAAAAAATTGCAGAGGGCCCACACATTATATTTCAGGGTTCAGAGTGCAAACAGGTGCTGGAGAACTGGACAGCGTCTATGCACTACCATCTTTTACAAAGGGAGTCAAAGCAAATCCAGGCAATTACATGCCATTTGGGTCAACATCTGTATTGGAGAAATTATCATATTACTAAATGAAGAGAAAATCATTACGGGTATCTAGTGTAATACTGAGAAGCGACTTGACAAACATCAAATAATCCTTTAGATGGACATAAAGGTCTCAATTCAATGCTATGCCTGTGGCCCCATCCACCACCCAAAGAGCATGTGATAACTCCACCATGACTGATTTCAGGCAGAAACAGAGATCTTTCCTTTATTACTGGTGTCATTATAAACAATATAGGAACAGAGGAACAGAGTAGGCCATTCAGCCCCTCAAGCCTGTTCTGCCATTCAATAAGATCATTGCCAAAAAATATACCTGACTTTGGCCGCATATTCCTTAATACCATTGCGTAACAAAAATATATCTATCGATCTCAGATTTATAACTAACAACTGATCCAGCATCCACTGATATTTGTGGAAGAGAATTTGGCCCTAATTTTTAGACTGTGGCCCCTAGTTCCAGAATCTTTATCTACCCGGTCTTTTCCTGGCAATATCTTGAGGACTTCAAACAGATCACCCCTTTACCATCCAAAATTTTGAGAAATCAGACCTCATTTGCAAAATCTCTCCTCACAATTTAAGGCCTTAAGTCCACATTGATATCAATACTGAAGACACCAAGTAAAACAGCAAAAGACACAGGAAAATATCCCGGTAAGCTTCTGCAAGATGGTAAAGCACTTCCAGAAGTATCCACTTGTATGGAACTTATTCAGCAGTTAGGGAGTTAATGTTTCATTGAAAGCTTCCAGAAGAAACTAGCACAGTGGCTTATGTTGCATGTATAAGGACAGAAATTACTAGTGTTATAATCAAATGAATGTCTGATACAGTCATGTGTCTCATTTTATCTGATAATTTAATAAAGCTATTAATCTATTCAATATAAATGGGCAGAACTTCTCTTAAAATAATGGTTATTAAGGTGGCGACAGACCATGTTCTCGGTTCACTTGTTAATACTATCAAATGTAAGTTCCAGTGAGAATTGAGTTTCCTCTACAGCATTTGTAATGACAAGGTCGTTCTGCAGAGACAATTCAATCTGCATGCAGCAGGGTCCACCAACTCTTTCTCGCAAAATGCACGAGAAAAAAAACCTCTAAGTTTTATATGGTGTCCTGGTATCTTGCTTTCAGAACAGTCAGCATCAAAGCTGATAATAACTAAACTTCTGCATAGTATAAAACAAAGAATTGCGGATGCTGGAAATCTGAAACAAACAAAAACAGAAATTGCTGGAGAAGCTCAGCAGGTCTGGCTGCATCTGTGGAGAGAGAATAGAGTTTTTTAGTCTTGTCACCTTTCCTTTGCATACCTTGGGTGAATTTAAAAATAGATAGAATTGACCATACGCAGGGTTGAAATTGAACAAAAATTAGCAAAGTGTCAAATTTGGGGAGTTTCATGAAGGGTTTCCGACTGTGAGGTCTAGGGGGTTACCTCAGGCAATTCTCCGCTACTCACCCCATTATGTATGTACTACACCTCTAGGGCAACGCTCTGACAGTATCTTCAGCTCACCAGTGGTGGATATACTCAATGCTGTTAACATCCAAAGGTGGGACAATATTTAAAGCTGAATTGTGCACCGGGTCAAACACTGGCAGCCAGCCACAGTACATATAGTGACAGAGCAATGAAAAATGAAAAGCTCTTGAGGGTAGTCAGGTACCACAGGTGACACTTCATTGCAAATAGAACCTACGTTTGTAAGTTTATTTCTACTTTACATCAGCACCTGTCTGATCGACTGTCATTGTTGCTACAACTACAAGAATGAAGTTACATAGACTACCCATCCTTAGAACCCATACATTTATTCAACAATATCAAAAGCAAAGAAAAAACAAACCAAAAAAAAAAAATGTGGAGCTGGAGGAACACAACAGGCCAGGCAGCACCTTCTTTTTGAAGAAGGG